CCGCGATGGTAGAGGGCGCTATCACTACGAAATCAAATCCAGTATTGGGAACTTTGGCAACCAGACCCAAGAGAATACCTCACGCGCGCAGTATTCATCATGCTATGATCGCGCGTGGGGTATGCTCGGAATATTCCTGGGAAGCACAGCCGAAGTTCACAAGACTGTGAGCTTTAGAGTGACTATATTATATATAGTATACGTGTGACTGGTGGAGAAAAAAATGTTTGTCCGGCTAGCTGTATTACATGCATAGAAGACCTTTGCATTTGGTTGGACCAAATGGATAAGTAAAACAAAGTTGGTTAATATTAACAACAATGCCGAGGCCAAACGCCGGAAAACAAACAAAATGTTGGAATTTGGTTGGCGATTGCTAGCTCAGTATCGATTACCTGTCCGTGAAAGCAAACAACGGTAAAACAAAATGCTATCATTTATTAAAGTTGACAATTTCCGCACAGATGTTGTGGACTGAACTAGTCTTTTTGAATATTTTATACAAACGCAAAATGCTGGAACTTTGGGGCTGCAGATATTGCATTTTACAGGGGCGTAGCACGGTCATTTTTATTGGGGGGTAAAAAATTTGAAAAGGGCACTTGCACATCCGTTGTGAAATGTATACATGTTTTTTTCTCCGGACCTTTGGCCTCCGTAAAATCAAAAGTGGGGGGGGGGGGGGGGGGGGGGGGCTTGTACATCTATCGATGGGGTCCCTGCTCAAAACCGACAATTATGCACACAAAGGGCCAATATATGGTGCTCTTCAGGGCGATACATGTGCGAAATTCTGAAAAAGGCACCCAAAACGGCAGATGCCACAAAAGGGCACCACTTCTTTTTTGAAAAAGGGCACTTGTTCAGAAAAAAGGGCACTTCGTAAAAAAGGGCACTCTTTACAAATTATTGGGAGGGGGTAAGCCCGTTGAAAAAAGGGCATTTGAATGGAAAAAGGCAGTCTTTTACAAAATATTGGGGGGTAAATACTCCTCTTACCCTCCCGCTGGCTACGCCTATGTTTTATCAACGGTTTTTTTTTCTCAATTTTGAAAACGAATAAAATGTTCATCAAAACGCAGCAGAGGGAATGAAGAAAAGTGATGGCAAAATGGCAATATATACGGGAATGAACCGCGGAGAAATACTGTCATGTCGGGTTGAGGCTAAAACCCGCTATTTGAACCTTCTAGACAAATCCAAACAGCCTCCCTCTCTAAAACAAGCTTTGATTATCTTATCTAAAAAGTCTTTTTCCGTTGATTGTGAAGCGTACATCAACATCAACATAGGCCTACACGCACAAATAATATCTGCGTAGATAAGACATGTGCTGCAAACATACGGCCTGTATAGATACTAGATGGACGGCTCTCGAAAAGAAGATTGTGGATCTTGATTACAACGCCCTCTATAGACACTTTAAGTACGCATCGGTATAGCTGAAAACCAGAATTGGCCCCTATACTAATCTGGATTCAGATTCCATCACACATACAGAGAGACGTTAAGCTCTACAATTCCAAGACTTAAGTGATTGTTTTTATTCAATCAATCAGAACCATCTACCTTAGTGCAGCTATTTTTTTGTTTCGTTTTGTAGCCTCTGCAAGGATGGTAATCTTCAATCCATCCACAGCTTTACAACCTGAAGGTGTGAGGAAATAGTACAATCCTTAGTTGATTGTTTCTATGCAGAAACAGTACCAATGATTTTCGGTAATTGCAATATATTGGTGTAAAACGCTGCCTGCGAGAAAATGTTACCTACTGAGGCAAAATGTCCCCCAAAACCTTGTTTCGACTAATTGGCGCCTGATTCATAATGCATGGGTATCTCTTTATTTTTTCAAAGCCGTTTTTTTTTTTTCTCGAAATGAGGTCGACGAAGATCGGCGGCACACTGTCGATTTTCCCGCGGCATATCGTTGAAAAAAAAATGAGCTACAGAAATAAATTGGTATCATTGGAAAGCCAATGAGATGCTCTTTAACATGACGTATCTATCTCAAAAGTAAAATGTTGGGATTATTCCTCATATGCCTAATGCATGTCACAGGCGGCGGCGGCGGCTAGAGTATGAATGCAATATAGTGAATTGCTTATCTGTACAGGGTGATGAAAAATTTGAACGAATCCCAAATGTCGGGACCATTGTTTTAGTGAAGTTCTGCATGTAGCACTTGCAAAATCTCGGATATAAAAGCCCAATTCATAAGCTTTCTTTTAGCACAAAAATCATTCAAATCACTTATTTACTTTTTAAGTTACGGATATTTAAACACAACCACCGTTTTAAAGTTCTGTCCACGATCACAAAAAGGTGTGCTTTCTTTCAGCAAAACGAAAAAATTCACATAGGGAGGATGCATGTGAATACGTGGACAGAAGTTTAAAACGGTGCTTGTGTTTAAAATTCCGTCCTTGAAAAGTACATGAGTGATTTGAATGATTCTTGTACTAGGCCAAAAAAAAAGTCTCCGGTTTCTGGTATGGAGCTTGCCCCAAAAGTGGTGCGGCGACGCGGCTTTTTTTTTTTTTGACCTGTTTTTTTTTTTTTTTTTTTTTGGCTTCAAATGTCGGCTGATGACTGCAAATGGTGCCCAACTAAACTTAGTACAATATATGGGAGTCCAGAGAGGCCACATAAATCTTATTCTCGATCATAACCCCATCTAAAAACACGTTAAAATTGTGCAGCAGCAGAATTCCAGTCAAACCAGTGAGTTTGGCGGTTTTGAAACATCATCTTGTATTGAAAAAAAAAACTTTTTCATTTTGCCGACGCGCATGGCTACGGCGACGCGCGCGCATACCAGAAACCGGAGACTTTTTTTTTTTGGCCTAAAAGAAAGCTTATATGATTGGGCTTTCATATCCTAGATTTTGAAAGTGCTACATGCAGGACTTCAGTAAAACAATAGTCCCGACATTTGGATTTAAGTTTTATTTTACTCACTCTGTATACAATTCAGAGGCTAGTTTCTGCTTGACACCAGAGGTATCAGTCTGCTTTAGCTAGGCGCTGGCTGGGATTTCATGCTCAATTTCTGGCTCAGCAGTTAAGTTGCCAGCATAATTCTTATCGAAATGGACGATATTTTTAAACGCAGGCTTATACATTTTCTTTTCCCTGAGAGGACATGACTTTAATATTGTACGATGGAAGAGTGTTGTTGATGCTAATGGCTTTTTCTCCAATGTCAAGCTCCATAGGCTAATGGGATCTAATGGAAGCTCTTGGACTGTTTTGGCAAAAAAAACAAGAGACTCTTATACCATATATGAGCTATTGAACCTTCCATTCAGTATGTTATAACAATAGCACCGTGAAATCATCGTAGGATTTGTAATCACATTTAAGATTTAAAAGATCTCCAATTTTTCCCGTAACTTTAATTAAACCATCGAGCTATACATACATGAAAACAATCATTGGTCTCATCCTGCAGTGACAGGTCTGCTTAAATTATGTACGGTGTAACACTGTATGTATAAATAATCTGTGCCGCTTATCAAGATATATGA